TTGAACTCCTTTTCTGCATCTCCGCCTAAAACACGCCCAGATTCAGGATCTTAATCCAATCCCCGTGGTTAGTGGGACCATGCTCCAGTGGGGCCGCGTTTCTGCGGGGGCCCAAAAAAATAAAAAATCCAGCGTTATTATTATTTTTCTTTCCATTTTTCAAGAATCTTACTTATATAATTATTTTTAAGTCATAAGCCATGGTCGCTGCTAGTGGGAAAACTCTCCAAGAACCGGTGAAAAAACACAAATCCCGGGGGCCAAGTCCCACTAGCAGCGTTGAGCTACCTCAACGCCTGACTCTGGACGCTTTTGCGGAGATGTGCAGAAATCGTGTTGAGTTTCCTGAACTGCACGTCTCCACAAACACGTCCAGATTTAGGCGTGCTGAGGTAGCTCAACGCTGCTAGTGGGACTTGTCCCCCGGCTGCTGACGGCGAGGGTAGGTACAGGGCTGACAGCGTCAGCTTTACCTCATCTGCAAGTTCTGGTCGGATATTCAAAACAAAAAAAAAACGAAAAACACACAAAAAAAAACAGAAGAATCCCCAGCAGCAGCAGCTGCTGAAGGGCGATTAAACCAAAGGGGGTAAGGTAAGTACCCACGCGTTGTATTCGGAGGAAAACGTAGAAAATCCCGACTGGTACTACTTGGTCAACTCTCTGACCATCATCGGGCTGACGGCAGAGAGATCCCGACTGCTTCTGCCTCGCCAACTGCCTGACCAGCATCTGGATAATGGCAGACCCCGACCGACCGGTTCCTCTTCCGTACGCAAATATCATTCTATTCATACTTCCCGAGATTTTTGCTTTTTTTTTTTTTTTTTTTTTTTCCTTTTACTTCTTTTACTGCTTCTTTTTTTTTTTTTAGGTGAACAAAAAAAAAAAAAAAAAAAAAAACTCCCTGACCAGCATCTAGATACTGGCAGATCCCGAATTCTTCTGGCTCGCCAGCTCTCTCTCACCAGTACTTTGCCCAGCTATCGGCCGCGGGAAAACAAAATAGAGTAGAAACGCTTCTGGTCGGATGAATTTGGACGCTCCTGTAGTGGCCCGTACGTTACCTAAATTGTGGCTTGTGTAGGGGCACGACTTTAGGAAGTACTGGTGGTTTAATATAACGGGAAAATTTGCGGAAGCCCCCTGAAAGTTGGCGTGTTTGCTAAAATACCCCTACAAGACGTGGATGGAGCGGAGGGGCAGAACGCAAACTTGCAACCCCCCCCTCACAGGAGGGGCAGAACACAAACTTGCAAGCAACCCCCTCACAGGAGGTAAGCCGCAAAGATGTAAATCCAAAGGGGCATTTCACGAACCTTTTAGAACTTGCAGAGAAGTAATTCCACTCTACCCACATCTTTTAGGGGCAATTTAGCATTTGCGTTAACTTTCAGGAGTACTCCGCAAAATTGCCCTTCTCCCTTGTTTTCCTTTTTTTTTCGCTTTTTTTCCTTTTCTAACACTGACGCAAAAAAAAAAAAAAAAAAAAGAACTGCTCGTGAGTTTTACTCTGAACACAGTCCGACGAATCACATACACTCTTTTAGAAGCATTTTAGCATTTGCGTTTAACTTTCAGGGGTATTCCGCAAAAAAGAATATTTTCTCCTTTTTTCATTCTTTTTTTTTTTCTTTCGAAACACTCGCGTCAAAATAACTACTCGTGCGATTTTTGAGACACGCTCGCTTTCGAATCCTGCGCCGGGAAAAAAAAAAACAAAAAAAAACACTCTTTTCTGAGTTCATCCCCTTTGTTTTTTTTTTGTTTTTTTTTGGAAAAAGTTGTCCCTATCCGGCCTAACTATATTCGTTTTATCTTTTACTTTTCCTTCCTTTATATTATATACTGCTCAATTTGGCTCTCGTCATCATTTATTGCGAAGTGCGGCTGCTGTAGCGGCGACTTCCGTCCCTTTCTTTCTCTTAAGTTTTTTTTTCTAATGTTTGTTTTTTTTTGTAACCATTTTACGCTGAATAATCAATAACCCGTTTTCCTCCTTTTTTCCCAAAAAAAAATACGCAAGTTACAAAATTTTCATTTTTTTTAACCATTTCACTCTGAATAATCAACAAACCATTTTTCTCCTTTATTTGAAATTATTTCATTACAAAAATACACTCGCGCTACACGTACTACTACCTTCCTCTTACCAACGTCAAATGATCGGTCAGTCCATCGAAGTAGCTGACTAAATTTATATTTTTATTTTTTATATACCTCATCATCCATTTACTCCTCTGGTTAAATAATTAATCGATTTCACCAAAAAATATTCGAGTGGTTAATTCAATCATTCGTCGACATCCGACTGATTAATTAAAGGGATGATTTGCAAAATACCCCCATAATTTGAGATATATGCCAAAATGCCCCTGAAAGATCTGGGTAGAGCGGAATGCCCTTTCGGGCCAAAATCTGTGTTGCGCCCCTGTCAGGCGGACGTGCCACTTTGCAATCTGCCCCCCCCCCCACCACCACACACACGGTTTGGGCCTTGGTCGTTCGCAATAGCGCCTAGAAGGAGAAGTTGGCAAGTACTGGGGCATTTTGCAAAGTTGTACGGTACCGGGTAGGGGTAAATTGCAAAGATGGATGTCCAACCGCCGCCAGAGGTATTTCACCAACAAAAAAAAAAAATTGTCCGAGGGGCATTCCGCTCTACCCACATCTTTTAGGGGCATTTTGGCATATATCTCAACCTATGGTGGTATTTTGCAAATTACACCTTAATCAAATTAAATTCGATTGAAATTAAATATATATCGTCACACAGTGTATCGGAGCGCAAAGGTTGAAATCAAATTATTAAATTAAGTAGTTTGTCTGGTTCTTATTTCCAAAACCGATTCTCAGATTCGTCAAGTGACAAAAAGGCGGCACGAATCGCGAACTAAAAAACAAAACAAAAAAAAAAAAAAAGGCGGAACGAATCGCGAACAGAAAACGCGGAAAAGGAGCGCGAATCGAGGATCAGAAAACGACAAAAGGGGACGATGATCACGAACAGAAAACGACAAACGGCCTGCGCATATGAGGGAAAGGTGCGCACAAGGTGGGAGACGAGATGAGAAAAGATCAACAACACCATTTCCAAGGGGGGAGGAGGGGGGGGGGGGAGAGAAGAAAAAAGATCGACACCAGAGAGGAACGTAGACAGCATGATGCAGAAAAAGGGGAGGGAGAGAAGGGGAAGAGGAAGCCAGAGAGAAAGCGAGAGCGAGCAAGTGAGTGCGCACGCGCGCGCGCGCGAGAGAGAGAGAGAGAGTGACGCGTGAGAAGACAGGAAATAAAGAACGAAGAAAGGGAGGCAAAGGGGTGGGGGATGGAGGAAGGAGAGAGAGTGAAAAAGCGATAGAGGCACAGAGAGGGAGAGAGGAGGGGTGGGGGAAGCGGAAACACGGAGGTCAAAAGGGAGAAGATTACCTTGGTCGACGATGGCTGGAGCTGACTTCGAGGCCTGTGTGGTGAATGGAGCGCTCCTGATGCGTGATTGAAGAGAGAGGCAGATGATGAGGAGGACGGGGAGCAGGAGGAGGAGGAGGGGGATCGGCAGAAAGCAGAGGAGGGCGAGGAAGGAGGAGTCGAGGAGGACAAGGCACTGGCCTGCTCCCGTACTCTCTGCTGAATCAACCCTCCACCTCCCAGAGACTGCGCGGATACTTCCGCGATACTTCCAGGCAATCGAAGAGCCATATGCTCCACCTTTCTCCACGTGTTTTCTATCTTATTACAGACACCCAATCAACCAACCGCCCTCTCAACCAATCAACCAATCAATCAATCAAACAATCAATCAAATCAATTCAATCAAATCAATTCAATCAATCAAATCAATTCAAACAATCACATCAATCAACCAATCAATCCAATCAACTGACTCCGCCTGTCAACCGCTTCGCGACTTCCCCCGCCTGCCCGCCACGTGCACGCTTCCGCTTAAGACCTCACTTCGATGGATTAGCATCCGCCACGTATCGCACAGCCGTTAGCAGGGGGTTGAAACGTGTCACGCAGTTGTGTTTGAGAGACGTCACGCATACGGGTGGAGGTCGCGCAGTGTATAGCCAACTGCACTGTCGCTACAGTAGTACTCTGTCGCGCATTCCGTGTGCGCACGGTTATCATTCATTCAAATCGTTTTGACGCAGCAAGAGCCAAATCGCGTTTCCTGCAACAAGCCGCAGTCGATCGAATTTTGTTTTGTTGCGGATGCAGCAGACGAGAATCACACACAAAAAAAAAAAAAAAGCCAAGGAGCAATCGATTCGATTTTTCGTTGCGAAAAGAAAAACAAAATCGCGCGCCCCCGCAACGACGCACGACGCAAACGCGCGCCCCTGCGTGTCCTGCCGAAGTCCGCAATCAATTTCTCTTTTTTCCTTTTTCCAGAAAATCAAACCGTATACCAAACCAAATATTTTTACATCACCCTGATCGTGGACAATGGATTGCTGACAGAAGAATCGAGAATATACTGTTGTGGGGGGGAGGCTGCTCGTATCGCCACCCCCACAGCGAGAGTCCACAACGAGAGAGAGAGAGAGAGAGAGAGAGCGAGAGAGAGAGAGAGAGAGAGAGAGAGAGAGAGAGAGAGATTGACTGCGGACTCTTGCTGTGGGGACCGCGTAATTTGGGTACTTCGTATGAGACCGTTGATCTTCGTCATCTACGGTCAACCGCGAAGAATTGTATTGTAGGGGTTTTGAGAGGGACTTGCTTAGGGGCCTGATCCCACAGTAGGCCGTTTTTTTCTTTTTAAAAAAAAAAAAAAAGAGGGCTGCGCCGCACTCCGCTGCAGTGCAATACAGAGGCAACACTGAAGGGGTCGCTTACTCGTACGACCCCTCCGTGGCCCAGAAAACTGGGGCCAAAAAAGAATGTCCGGAGCAGGGGGCTTGATTTGGCCACTTCTGCGGCTGGGCGGGCATACCCCAACGCCTGCACCTAAGCTCGGTAATGGGCCCGGTATATGGGGCTCGCCACACCACTGTGGAATCCACGAACGATTTATCGACAGTTTCTCTTGGCCACACAGCTGTCGAAATTGGAGACTGGACGGCAGCGCGGCTCCGCCTGCGCTAATTTGTGCGCTCAGACCAGACGCGTTCCGCCGGCAATGGAAGGAGTGACCTGGGGAAGGCGACTACTGGTGATAGCCCCTTGGTAGAGGGTATACCCGTCACCGTATGCTCTGTCATATCGGTCATGGCAGAAGCCATGGAGGAGATACTCGCAGGCATCTGGTATCCGGACCCCACATAAGGTTAAGGATCAGTAAGGGTGAAGATAAGATAGAAGAGCGAAGTTGAAGTAAGTAGCAACTACTTCCAATCGAAGTGGAAGGAAGACATTTAGGGTTGACGGGAACCCGAACCCAGTTGAAGTAGGAAGCGAGGAGGAAAGCGAAGATGGCGGAGATGAATGAAGTGAGGGAGGCGCGATCCCCGCTCGCCGCACCAGAACAGCCGATGGAGGAGGATGAAGATTCGATACGAGCGCTAGCACGACTGTGCTGCGACGAAGGAATTTTCACAGGATCAATAGACTCGGGTGAGATGACGGTAAACGGGCGTGAAGCAATATTTAGAGTCAATGCAAGGATCAATCAAACAAAGGTTCAGTGCTTAAAGGACCACATGGTGACTATGATCTTCAGAGAAGGGGCACAATTTTTACCTAAGAAGATCAAGGATGATGCGGTTTGAGCCTATGAAGATGACCGTCTACAGGATGGGACTTTTGAAGCGACAGCGTTTCGAAGAGGCAGGGTGAAAGTGGAAAGCCCGAACGTCGTATCCTATGTGGCGAAGAGCACTCAAGTAAAAGATTGGCTCATGATGAAAGGAAGAGACAAAGTGATGCTGGGGGCACGACGAGATACGTGTTGGAGTTTAAGCCATGGCTTACACAAGCGCAGCTAAGGGAGTAAAGGAGACAGGAAGAGGAAGCGGATTTTCGGGTAGTAGTCGTGCAAGTGCCACTAGGCGCGATGCTATATTTGGCGGCACAAGTGTTGTGATTCGTGCTCATCCACCAGAACCGGATCGGCAGAAGCCATCTTTGATCAACCTCAAGTTTGACGTAGAGCCATCCGCACGTCAAAATATGAAGGATAAAATTTCAGTCGTTACATTCTAAGGGGACACGCTCACGATCAACATGGCGTCATTGGAAACTCCACGATGTCGATGATGCAGAGCTTTCTTTCACGAAGAAACGCAGTGCATACAAAACAGACAAAACCAAGCAAGGTCATAAGGTAGACAAGGAGACACTCAGGGAACATCAAAAACACAATCGGAGTACGTAGGGCCTTGGAACCACCAGGCCAATAAGCAGTGGAACCAGGACTGAGTGCAACAGGAGGCATTCAAGAACATGGAGCAACAAACAACTACAACAACGCGACGTATTCACCAGGCGGGAGAGGAGGTCCCATACCGGGTCAGATAGGCCAAGCCCAGTATGTACCGGTACAACCTATCCCCTCATCGTTCGAACCCGATAGGAACCAATCAGCTCCCTCCACAAGGAGGGTATGGAATGTCGTATCTCATTCCGCAAGACAGGTTTGGATTTAGGTCAGGGGGAGGTGACCCTATTGGTTATGGTGGACCCTATGGGGGTTACAGAGGGGGGCTCATAGGAGGTGGGCCCGGAGGTGACACCCTAGAATAGGGCGGATTCAGCGACATAGATCCATACGACAATTACGGAGGGGGAGGACCTGGGAATGACGATCTACAAGGTGAAAGAGAAACGACAACACCAACAACTGGAGTGAATGTAGGAGCATCGAGAATTCAGTGGGAAAAATCGAACTCCGGACTTGCTGGAAATGGTTACAGAATATATCAGGAAGGAAGTACGAGAAGATGAGGCGAACAAGCAAAGACAAGGCACACCAGGCAAGCAGAGAAAGTTGAGTCGGGAAAAAAGTGTGGCCTATGAGATCAGAGGAGAACGGTTGGAATCATCGGAGTCAGAAGGAGCAATAGGAACACCAGGATTGAATACCACTATAAGAAGGACACCGGTAACAGTCGGAAGAGGACAACAAGATCATATCGAGGCAAGGATACTACCGTTGTTTGGCACAGTAGTCAACGATCAAATGCATTTTATTGCATGGGCACTCCATGATGCCTCAGTAAACATTTTATCAATCCCATCACCGGAATCGCCGATGCGAATAGCAATCGCCAATCTGGCGCGAACGACAATAACAGACAAGTTTGTTTTGAGTTTGATTCCAAATCTGACGATGCCAAGGCTGCTGGTCGACAATCTGGAGAATGGAAAGAAGGTAATTTTTTTTACGCCCCTTATGGATGCCAGATTTGCGAATGGGCAGATTGAGGTGCTGGAAAGAGATAAAGGAATGCGACCTCTCCCTACTAGCTGGCTAGTAGAGAAGAAGAAACAGGAATTGAGTCAGGTAAGGGTCCTCCCCATTAAGTCGGCAAAATTTCTTGTGGAGATAGAACGAAAACTGTCAACGAAGAAGAAACTTTTCTCACAGGTCATATGGACACACTTGACGAAGCCATGGCTCACGGCTTCCGGAAATGGAAGTCAGACACTCACAACATCACAGACGGTCCCCTCAATCCAATCAGAAGGGGCCAGGGGAGGGAATGAGTAATCTGAAGGTTGCAACATGGAATGTGCGGGGATTGGGGGACACAAGAGGGACGTTAAAAAAAGAGAGACTTAAGTCGTGGATCCGTGAGAATGAAGTTCATACTATGATTTCAAGTTGTTTGCAACACACAAAATTAGGGGAGGAGAAAGTTGAGGTACTGGGAAGATGGTAGGATGGGCCACAATTATGGCCCCAACACAAGGAACGAGAGGAGGAGTAGGGATATTAATTCACAAAAGATTAGACGCAATCATCACCGATTACTACGCGAACCTTTGAGACCGTTGGGCGTGGGTGAAATTAGAAGTAGAGGGGGAGGAATGGTTGATAGCCTCAATTTATGCACCAAACGATCAAAAGGAACGCATTATTGTTTTCCAAAAATTAGCATACATTATACCAGTTTGTGACAAGTTGATTGTGGCAGGAAACTGAGACGTTAGATAGGACAGAGACTAAACAAGAGAGATCAATGGACAAGGAATAATTGATTAGTGTGATGACTGACTTTGAGTTGATCGACCCGTACAGACTAACTCATCCGGAAAGTTCGGGTTTTACCTGGTTCTCAAATCCAAGGCCTGATGTGGGGGTCATACGACGAATGATTGACTACTTCTTGATATTGAAGAACCTTTGAAACTCGATATCAACCATCTGCGAAGACCTACAGTCCTTTTCAGACCACAAACCAGTAACCTTGACCTTGTCGACGAGTAGAGTGAAGAGGGGAAGCAGACTCTTCAAGTTCAATATACAAAATCTGGAAGACCGGGGGTTGAGAAAGTGGATGGAGGAATTTTGGGGACGTTGGGAGAAAGTAAAGGAACAGTACCCTTCAAGGGACAAATGGTGGGATGCAGGCATAACGATGTTCGCTAATCTACTCAATATGTTCTCACGGACCTTAGCCTGGGAAAGAAAGCAACAAGAAAGAGAGATTAAAAAAAAAAAATGCATATGCAAAAGGAAGAATGAGCTAACACCCAATATCAAACAGGGTGTGGGGGAAAGACTTTAAGGGTCATGTTGATGAAGGAGTGAGATGAACTCAAGATCAAGAAATCGGAGATCTGGACGGCTAGACTGTGGGTCAAAGGAGTAACGGTGTACGATCGTATGACGAAAGAGTCGTTTCAAAAACTAACGCTAAGCAGGATTTCAGTTTCCATGATGGAGCTCAAACATCCCTTCGACAAGGAAGTTGAAACAGCGAAGGAACCGACTGAACTCTGCAACTATGCGGCCCTCTATTATAGAGACATCATGACATCCCGCATGCAAGGGAGGGAGGTGGTAACAGACCTACATGTGGGTAATGATCACTGGGAAAACACAGATATAAGACTGTCCCAACAGAGAAGATTAGACTTGGACAGGTAAGTCATGAAAGAAGAGGATTACGAGGCTCTCAAAGCAATGGCGAAGGGGAAAGCCCTAGGGAACGATGGGCTACCCACCGAATTGTACGAAGGAATTTGGGATGTGGTCGAGGATCACCTAGTGGAAATATATAATGGGATCCTGATGTGTGGACGCCTGGGAACTACAATGTGCAGAGGTACAATATCATTGTTCTTAAAAAAAGGAGAACGATCAGAAATTCGAAATTGAAGACCGGTCTCATTGCTAAATATATCGTACAAGATTCTAGCAAATG